TAGAAAGATTCACTTGTACCCTTGCAAGATGAACCACAGAAGTGAACCCTCGAATCCCTCTCCCTCCCGACATCACAGTCTCTTGCATGCCCCTCATAATTTTGCCCTGAGCCCACAACATCTCAGGCAGAAACTTGCCCTTGACGATTTCATCTCATCCCAGAAGCCCAACTGCCAAACCACTGATGGACTGCCCCTCCCAATCCCCACCTGGGCTCTAGATCAGCACTTCTGACTGCCTCTGCACACTCCCTGAGCCCCTCCCAAACCGCCCATTCCCTCTGGTATGTCTAGATTCCCCCCCAGTCTCTAATGCTGCAGGCATCCCAGTGGACTCCTGAAGTGACCCGACCCCTTTACTTCTCCCCCATTCCCAGAGACCTATCACTAAGTGCAGCTTACTGAGTCCGGCCTCCTCAACACCTCCTGCACCCACCCCCTCCATGTGGGTTCCTGGCTCCTTACTTTAGGCGCTCAGTTTTCCTGCCTTCAGGCTTATGTGCTGGAATCAAACACCACACTGCCCTACACCGAGTTTGTTTAATGTTACTTCGCGGCTCAAAATCCTCTACTGGCTCTCTAGTGCTCCCTGAATATGCCCTGGTGTGGCCTCCAGCTCTGGTGGCTGATGGCCTATCCCCACCCCCTTTGCACACCTCTTTCCAGCCATAATCTTCACAACCTGTAGCTGACCACGGAGCTTTCATGTTTAGATAGCTCTGCACGTGCTGTTCCTTCAACCAGTGACATCAGTGTCTCCAGGTAATTAACTGTCACCCAATCTCCTGGTCCCTTTCAAAACTGGTCAGCCCTTTCCCTGACTTTCCATTCACTCACCAATGTGCTACACACTTTTTTTTTTATTGAGATAGTTTCAGTATGTCACCCTCGGTAGAGTGCCATGACGTCATAACTCACAGCAACCTCAAACTCTTGGGCTTAAGCCAGGTGTCTGCAAACTACAGCCCCTGGACCACATGAGGCCCGCTGAGGACATTTATCCGGCCCGCCGGGTGTTTTTGCCACAGCTGCCTGTCCTGCTTAGCAGCCAACTTGTCCCGGGCCCACAGTCCGGCCCTCCAACGGCCTGAGGGACAGTGAACTGGCCCCCTGTTTAAAAAGTTTGAGGAGCCCCAGCTTAAACCATTCTCTTGCCTCAGCCTCCCAAGTTGCTGGGACTACAAGTGTCAGCCACAATGCCCAACTATTTTTTTTGTTGTAGTTACCATTGTTGTTTTTAGCAGGCCCAGACCAGGTTCGAACCCGCCAGCCCCGATGTATGTGGCCACACCTAGCTTCTGAGCTATGGGTGCCGAGCCAAAGTGCTATGTACTCTAACTTCCAATTCCAACCACCCTACAGACTATGCTCTCTGAGGGTGGACTGTCAGTGTAGCATTTGCCTCTCTGCAGCCACTTACCCCCTCCTTGGACCTCCCTGGACACCAGTCTCATCCTGCAGCCCCCCCCTTTGTAATTTACGAACACACACACATATATTAAATGTTGCAGTACCTCACAAATTCTTCCCTGTCAAAACTCCAAGCTTGGGTGAGGCCTGTGGCTCAAGGGAGTAGGGCTCCGGGCCCCATATGCTGGATGTGGATTCAAACCCAGCCCTGGCCAAAAACTGAAAAAACAACAAAAAACCAAAACTCCAAGCCCTCTCTTAGGTGACTGCATTCTCAGTCCTAAGCTACCTGTCTGCTGATAACTCACATGTGCATCTCTAGTGCAGATTCTTCCCTGAGTTTCATGTGTGTATAATCCACCCCCTGTTAGATATCCCACCTCTGTCCCTCAGGAACCTAGATGATTGTTCCACCAACACTTTCCCCTTCTGGAGAATCTACTCCCCACCACTCAAAATCAACCAGACTGCTCTATTTGTACCAGAAGACTGCAACCCCCTTGGCTCAGACCCAGCTCACCAGGTGGGAACCGGACCCAGGCCAATCAGATTTTCTCTCTGGACATTTGAAACTGAGATCAAATTGTCTCCACATTTAAAACTAGTAAATCAAATACAGCCAAGATTATGTGCAAGTGAAATGGAAAAGCTAGTCTCAGAGCCAAGAACAAAGGTGACAGAGAAAGGCAGTGAGTGAGCACACAGCTCAAGGAGGACAGAGAGGGACCACTCTGGGGCTGGAAACTTGGTGCCTGGCTGTTCCCTCCTTTCCCTTCTCCACGTCCTCTCACAGACCTGTGGTTTCATACTGTCCTGCCTACAACCTGTAGCTGATCACCGCTCCTCAGCGATCAGCTCAGTGAATTTCTGTACTTAACAATCAAATGTGCCCTAAGATAATCTTTTACAAACTAACAAGAAAGTAAAAGGCTGCCAATTAAACTATATCACATTGTCAAGATGTACTCTGATCACTCCATGTACAGGCGCCCCCTGCCCCTTGGAAGGTCTTGTTCCTCACACCCACCTGAGTGACATCAATGTCCGGGACTGAGCTCCAACCCAACTCTACTTTTCCTGATTCAGGCCCAAGGGAAATCTAGAACGTGGTAATTACTATCTCTTGCTATTTAACTTTTAATTGTTTAAGTCTCATCTCCCCAATAAGATTTTAAACTCCTTCAAAGCATGGATGGTTCCTACAGAGTCTTTACAAATAATAAAAACTAAAAATATTCACTGGGGAAAGTGTTTGGTTGGCAGTGTGCACAAGAGCTGAACAAATGTGTAACTTATGACCTGGCCCATAAGAGCATTCTGTCCACCAAAAAGCACAAACAAACAAACAAACAAACACCCTGATTAAACTGTGTAGCATTTGTTTATACCAAGGGCCAAGCTGCACAAGGTGGATAGGGCTCCCCTCTGAGACAGAAAGCTGAGCCAAAGAAGCTGGGCATAAAAAAGAACCAGGGCCATGCGACTCCTTTTATAAAAAGTTCAACAACAGGTAAAACGAATCTATGGTAATAGAGGTCCAAAGAGGAGTCACTGTTGGGAAGGAGTCACGCCTCCAGACACGACCTTTCAGTCATGATTCCATAGACGATACCCATGTTTTTTACTATATCTTTTCTAGGTTTAGACAAATACTGTGTCACAAGCGCCCACAGCACACAGTGGAGTAACAGCCACACCAGACTGTACCCTAGGAGTGAACTCCATGCCCTACAGCCTAGGCACACATGGGCTGCACCACCTAGGTTTGCACTCTGACATTCGCGCAAGAAAACTACCTCACAGCGTGGAGAAGGAGTCTCTGGAATATGGGAATGTTCTTTCTCTGATGTGATGTGAATGCTGCACTATGTACATATGGTTGTGTCCATATGTGAAAATCCCTCAAGTGGCACTTACTATCGGTTCATTACCCGGATTCCTCTACCACGCCAAGGCACCCATCCTTCAGCTGCTGCAAGTCAGCTACTAATGGCTCCTTACTGTCACCTCTAGAGAATGACCCTCCCTGAGAGGCTGGCACTGGCACATCCCACCAGTACCTAAGGACAGCCAGCAGCCACAGCCCCCTTGCTTCAATCAGGGACATGCTCCCAGTGGGCCTGGGCTACAGCCACATCCCAGTCAGTGATGGGGACACCTTTTCCCTGTCCTACCCAGCTTCCCTGACTCCCTTCCTCCTCAATATCACAGGCACAAGGATGGTCCTAAGCCTCTTCTGGGGGAAAGGACCCAAGACAGAACACATAATGTTTGTGATCCTATACATTACGTTTCTACCTCAATGGTAAGTTTTTTTTTATTTTTAAGAGCAGATTGTTTTGAACAGCTAAAAAGCAACATGCGATCTCCTCTTGAGATTCTGATAGATAACATTTTCTCAGAGCAAAGAAGTGTCACCAGGCTACAAAGGACCATCACTCAGGGTAGGCCTCCCAGGACTCCTGTGGCAGAAGGACACAGGTGAATGACATTAATTCCAAGGGGGAGACCTGCCACTAGCTTGCTGTGTGAAGGTGCCATCACTCAAGTGCTCTCTATTTCACCTTCCAAACTCACAAACCGGGAGCTATGTCCCCAAAGCTCTCTAAAGACCGTTCCAACTGCAGAGATCCTTTGGTCTCATACGGACCAAACTCGTGTGCGCAGCGCCGACTCCTGCCGCACAATCTCTCCAACCACTCACCTTCACACAAGCCTTGGAGCTAGAAAAGTAACGGCGCGCCTCTCTCCCAAACCCCCACCCCCAGCTTCCCAGTCTCTACCCGCAGAAACCACCGCGTACACCCCCAGGGCACAATTCTCAAAGCGTCCTTCTACAGAAAGGTCAGCGTCCTCTCAGGGTTACACGTGGTGTACAAGATACGCTAATGTGGAGGCAAGAGAGGCCAGCACAGCACACTGGAGGGCATTCCAGAAAGTACTCAGTATAAAGACAGCCAGTCAAATTCTATCAAACATTGCAAAGACTCCAAGAGTGGGGATCACATTTCACTTCCAATCTGATCCCTGGGGTGCAAATCGGGCTGCCGGAGCAGCGCCTCCCGAGCCAACGGATGCACCAGGGACAGAGATGTCCTGGAGCGGGGACGACAGCGCGTCAGCCGTCCGCCCTCATCCCGCACCTTCCCCACGCGAACGGCGACCGGGCTGGCCGTCCCCGCCGTGTTTCCGGAAGGCTGGAGAGACATTCCCAGAGCCTTGGGCTCCCACACGTGACCGACTACCAGGCGCTCCGCCTCCATTTCGGGGATCGCGCCCCCTGAGGCGCGCCCGGCGGCTCCCCCGGCCCCGACTCCCCCGGACGCGCCCCGAGGGTCGCCCGGCGCCGCGCGGGGCCGAGCAGCGAACGCGCCCCCCGGAGCCGGCCCTCGGCGCAGACCCCGCGGGCAGCGGGACGCCGTTGCCGGGGACGCCGCCGCGCCGAGGGCCGGCTCCCAGCCCTCCCGGGGCCGCTCCCGCGCCGCGCCCGACGCTCCGGACCCCACCCGGGCCCCGGCCTCGACCCCGGGCCCGACCCCAGGCCGCCGGCCGCCACCTCGGGAGGCCCCGAGCGCACGGGCGGAGCTCACCTTCCGACTCGCGCCGCCGAGGGACACCTTGGGCCGCGTCTTGAAGTCCCCTTCAAAGCTGAACATCTTTACAGCTTATCCCATCGGGGAGCGCCCGGCCGAGCAGCCGGGCGGGGTGTCGGCTCTCGGAGCCCGCCCGGCCACGGGCAGCGCGACCAGGCGGCGGCCGGAGGCGACCGTGCCCGCGCCGCGCTCTGCCCTCCCGGCCCTGCCCGGGGCGCAGGGGCGGCGACAACGGAGGGGCGGCCCTACCTCGCCGCTCCTCATTCACGCCTCCCGCTGCTGCGGCCGCGGCCTGGAGCGCCCGGCGGGCCGCGTACCCCACGCCCGCTCCGGGAGCAGCCTCGGGAGGGAAGATGGCGGCCGTCCGTAGCTGCCGTGCGCGGCCCCGCGAGCGCGAGCGCGCTCTCGCTGGCGACGGCGGGACGCTCCTCCCGGCGGCCTCGCCAGCGTGCGCGGCCCCGCGGGACGCGCAGGAGCCTGAGGCAGGACCTGGGGCGGAGCCTGAGCCCCTGGGGCGGGGCGGGGCGGGGCCGAGGAGCGGAGGGGGCGGGGCGGCCGAGAAGACAGTGATGGGGTCTCTTAGAGCAACTCGCGGCTGCTGGCCGCTTCTCTGGGAAGCGCCCACGTCGGGTGTAGACTGGAAGGACCAGTCTGGCCTAGCTCGTATATTTACAGCCGCGTATTACATGTGTCGCGTCACATATCACACATATATGCACACGTTTGCCTCACGCACAGCATACATATCCGTAAATATAAAGCCCACGCACAACCCACGCGTAAGTCTGTCTCATACGCAAAGCATACATGTACATACATACGAGATATGCATATACATGCTTATACGTATGTACTAAGTATAGATGTTCCTCAATCTGCTATGGGGTTGCATCCTGATGAAACCATCATAAGATGAAAATATTGCAAATCAAAAGTACGATTAATACCCTATAAGCCCATCACAAACTCAAAAAGTCCTAAACTAAGTCATCGTAAGTTAGGAATCATCTGTACATAAATATGTATGTCATATCCACAACTACATATTAAGTATATCTCACATACACACATGCATACAGGTATATATCATACAATTGAAACCACTTTTAAAAATTAATTTTTTAATTGTGCATTTTTAAAGTATACAACACGATGTTTTGATACAGACACGTGTCATGAAATGATTACCCTCTTTTTTCCTGTGTGGTAAGAACACCTAAAATCTACTCTCTTAGCAAAATTCTAATGTACGGCACAGTATATATTATACTATTGACTACAGTCCTGATGACTTTTGGGTCTCTGGCTTATTCAGCCCACAGAACTGCAAGTTTGTACTTCTGAGTCATATCTCCCGCCTTCCTCCACCCTCAGGCCCTGGTAACTACCACTTTACTTTATGTTTCTAGGAGGGTTTTATTTTTATTAGATTCCACATGTAAGCCCAATCACATAGTATTTTTTTTCTCTGTGTCTGATTTCACTTAGCATGTCTTCTAGGTTCATCCATATGTTGTAGGAAATGACAGGATTTTCTTTTTTAAGGCTAAATAAAATACCATTGTATGTTTATGCACGATTTCTCCATCCACTTCTGCATCACTGGACTTGTTTCATAGAGTGGCTATTGAGAGTAATGTTACAGTAACCATAGGAGCAGCTGATTTCATTTCCTTTAGGTATATAACCAGCATTTTTGAGGGCCCTCCACATTGTTTTTCACAATGACTACACTATTCACATTCCCAACAACAGTGTGCAAAGCTCCCTTTTCTCCACACCCTCATCAGCACTTGTTACCTCTTGCTTTTAGGTAACAGCCCTCCTAGCAGATGTGAGATGAGCAATGAGATGGTGTCTCATTGTGGTTTTGACTTATATTTCCTTGGAGACTGGTGATGCTGAGCACCTTTTCATATAGTTCCTGGCCACTTGCATGCACTTTTGGAAAAATTCAGGTCGTTTGCCCATTTTTAAATCTGGAAAACCAAAATTTAAAAATAAATATTTACTATTACTATGTGAGGTGCACTATTTCTTCCATTATCTACTTTTTTTCTTTCTTCTTTTTTTTTTAATTTTTACTAAATCATAGCTCTCTGTACATTAATGCAGTTATGGGGTACGGTGTGCTAATTTTATACACAATTTGAAATATTTTCTTTTTTTTTTTTGAGACAGAGCCTCAAGCTGTCCCCCTGTGTACAGTGCTCTGGCATCACAACTCACAGCAACCTCCAACTCCTGGGCTCAAGCAAGTCTCCTGCCTCTGCCTCCCAAGTAGCTGGGACCACAGGCGCCCACCACAATGCCCAGCTATTTTTTTTTTGTTGCATCATTGTTGTTTGGCAAGCCTGGGCTGGATTTGAACCCGCTACCTTAGGCGTATGTGGCTGGCGCCTTAGCCATTTGAGCCACAGGTACAAAGCCAATTTGAAATATTTTCATCAAACTGGTTAACATAGCCTTCATGGCATTTCTTAGTTATTGTGTTATTTCTTTCTTTCTTTCTTTAGAGATGAGTTTTATGCTTTGGGGCTCAGGCTGGAGTGAAGTGGTGGAATTGCAGCCTCAAACACCTGTCTTCAAGTAATCCTCCCAGCTTGACCTCCCAAGATGCTGGGATGATAGAAGTAAGCCACTGTGCCAGTCCTATTTTTAAAAGAAACAGTTGCAAACCACCCACTGCATTTCACATGGATCTCAGCATGCACTCTGAAATATCCTGGCTTATATATAAATGTAAATGGATGGATGGCCAGACAGACACACACATTGCTGTTTTCTGAATGTTGGTGTCTCCCCAAAGTTCACAGGTAGAAACTGAAACCCCAACGTCATAGTATTAAGAGGAGGAGCCTTTCAAAGGTCTGACGTCATGAATGAGATTAGGGCCCTCATCAAATAGGTCTAAGGCAGTCTCCTTGGCCCTTCTACCAAATGAAGACATGGCAAGAAGACACCGTGTATGTGCCACAGAGGCCCCCACAGACCCCAGATCTCACCCTGTGTAACACAGAGGCCCCCACAGACACCAGATCTCACCTTGTGTGACACAGAGGCCCCCACAGACACCAGATCTCACCCTGTGTGACACAGAGGCCCCCACAGACACCAGATCTCACCCTGTGTGACACAGAGG